AAAGTTGGCAAGTACTTGCAAAAATATAGATAGGTCCCCATGACGGAACCCGATTTTTTTTTCTTTGCCTGAATTTAGAGAAATGTATTTGACAAAAACTTCCTTTCCTTCTTTGGCCTTTTTGGTTATTTTACTGAGAAACGTTACAAATCTGCGTAGCTGTCCTCCATAGTGGAAGTGCCGGAAGTGATGTTTCGCGAGGTGCATTTTCTTTTGAGAGTATAGATCTAGACTTCTAATTCTTTGTATCTCTCAAGTAGAATGTAAATATAGTAGGCCAATGACTTTCAGTTGATGTTAGTACAACGATCATTCCTTTCATCGAAAGGGGGCCCAGCTAGTCATCTATATCTCGAAAAAAGGAAGGGGGGGGGGCAGGAGGTGGGACTTCCCATTTAGCCCCATTGCGAGATACAGAGCGCAAGTTCTTTCGGTACTTTTAGAGCTACCTTTTTTTGCATCCTCTAGAACTGAAGGCTCCTTCGGCTTAAAAAATACCCTCCTCGCTACCATCCCATCCCCTCTCTCTCTCTCTCTCTCTGTTTTAGACTCGCTACTCCTCCGCTTTCACCGCCTTCTCTCCAACCCACCTGAGAAGTGCAGCACGACATTCTGTTTGACGCCAAGACCTCGTTATATTCACATATATTATGTGAGGCATAGTTATGAAATCATGCAGTCGTCAAAATAATAAAATAAAATAAACCGGTTTTTTTCTGCACATTGGGCAATTTTCTTTCTCGAATTTTCTTGTTATTTTTTTTCAGGAAGGGGGTGGGGTGGGGGGGGGGGGGGGGGTTGGCTCAACTCTTTTCATGTCCATTGAAAAAAACAACATATTTTTCTATTTTTGTTTTAGTAAGGTTTTACGGCGCTCACAACTGCATAAAATCATATGAGCACCTAGGGGTGGATATAAACAGAGAAGTCTCAACGTGGAATCAGGCTTGCTCTGCTCATCACCCTAGCCTCAATCGCACAAAGTCTGCTTCGACTATCAAGGAACCCCGAAATAGCAGTTCACAAGAGAGTGACAAACATAATACAAAAGAAGTAGAGGAGAAATGACGATAGTAAGAAGTAAAAACGTTGATTGAAGGCACTCCGAAGGTATAGCAGCCACCAAACTTTGGATGCCATTTTCTCACAAACTTTACCTCTGAAACTAGACCACCCCTGACCCCTGCCTCTTTCAACCGCAAATATCTCGTCTTATTTTCGAGATAGATGGGTATTTTTTTCATTGAAGGTAACAAAAATAAAAATGCTTCAAGATTATAACAATAACTCTATATTATATTACGCTAAAAAAAAATGACGAGGACCTGTTTCCACGGCGTTGTGGTACATGTGTGAGGCAGCGTGGTGGAAACAGGCTCTCGTCAATTTTCGGGCATGTAGAGTTATTAGTATCATCTTAAAGCTTGTTCACTTGTCTTTATTTGAATGAAAAAAATATCCATTTATTTTGAATACAAGTCGAGATATTTACGAAAGAAGGAGGTGGGGGTTACCTGTATTCAGAGGTAAAATTAGTGAGAAAATGGACGCCAAAGATTAGTTATTTCCTTAGCTTAAATGTCCGTGGTAACTGAAGATTTACATTGTTTATGCCTTTAATCAACGTTTTTCAGAAAAATCCCCGCAGAAATGAGTTCTTTAATGAGCTGGAAAGGTGTTGAGCCAAAAAAAACATAAATCTTATAAAAATTCACAAACCTGCGGATAAAATGCAAGTTTCTTCACTTTGATTATTTTGACGAGAGCCTGATCCACCACGCTACCTCACATTTATTTTAGAATCTGTTGGTTGTGGTTCATGGGAATCAATGTTATAGCATGTTCTTAGAGATGGTAAGTCTCAATCTAGAAGAGAGGAGAGACAAGGAGATAGGGTACATCTACGCCTGTTCATCTTCATGTATGCAAGATTGTTTAAGCGTTTAAGATTTCGTTTACGCACGCTTTCAACAGTAAAGAGAAGGTAAGACAGACAGACAGACAGACAGACAGACACACACACACACACACACACACACACACACACACACAGAGAGAAAGAGAGAGAGAGAGAGGGAGAGAGAGGGGAGATATAGAGAGAGAAATGGGCGAGAGATT